ACAGGATCCTACTCTTAACATACTTTTGAAGTGCCATATTAAGAAAGTTAGCTTTTCATACATAGAGTAGTCCTTTGAGTAGCCACAGATTCACATCTCACTTAAAAAGCAACTGTGGAGGTGCCTGGGGGGGCTCAGTCAGTGAAGCCTCTGCCTTCGGCTCAGGTCATAATCTTGGGGTCCTGGGATCAAGCCCCACATCAGGCTCCCTACTCAGCGGGGAGTCTGCATCTCCCTCGCCCTCTGCCTGCTGCTCCCCCGGCTTGTGCTCTCACTCTGTCAAATATATCTATAAAATCTTTAAAAAAAAAAAATCTTTTTAAAAAATCTTAAAAAAACTCAAGTTCAGAGATAAAATTATTATGAATTTCAAAGTGGTGACAGCAGATCTTTAAACCAACTGTGGGTCCTTCTGAGCCTGGGGCCCATCAAGCGAGCCCTGCTCAGAAATACTCTCTTGTATACCCAGATATTATTTTGGAGGAAGAGGGAAGAGAAGACATTTTCTGCTTTGCCTGAAATGAGACTGTCTTGATTGTTGGATCCTACTTATAAAAATGAAATAATAAAGTAATTATCTCTTAAAAATTATTTGTTCCTGAGATTCTTTGCATAAGTTAAGATTCCATTGTTTGCTGAGAGAAAAAGCAGAAGTCATTGTATGTGGATAAAGAAAATTGTTAGAATGTAGGGGAAGCCTAGGGGATTGGCACTAGGGAGCGGGAAGCCTTCAGAAACCAAGCTTCTGCTTTGGATTTCTAGGCTCTTGTGGAGCCTCATCTGGCATGTTGCATTTCCCTTCCTCTCTCCTGAGATCTGCCTTCTCTGCTTCTCAAGGTGCACATGACCAGACATGGTAGCCCCTCAGTTCAGCTGAATGGCACAAAGGATAGCTGTTTTTCTGGTGGACAGAATATAGAATTGGTCCAGCGTGTATCTGGATCCGTCTCTGGTCCAACCATTGATCACTGATGAGGGGTGAACGCCAAAGCCTGGAAGCTCATGGGCTGGACCAGCACTCCTGAAGATTTCTACTACTGTGCCTCTTGTACTTGATTAAATGTCCTGTGCATAAAAATAGTAATAGTTAGGGCGCCTGGGTGGCTCAGTCGGTTAAGCGACTGCCTTCGGCTCAGGTCATGATCCTGGAGTCCTGGGACCGAGTCCCACATTGGGCTCCCTGCTCAGCAGGGAGTCTGCTTCTCCCTCTGACCCTCCCCCCCGTCATGTGCGCGCTCTCTCTCTCTCTCAAATAAATAAATAAAATCTTAAAAAAAAAAAAAAAGTAATAGGGCACCTGGGTGGCTCAGTTGGTTAAGCATCTGCCCTCGGCTCAGGTCATGATCCCAGGGTCCTGGGATCAAGTCCTGCGTCAGGATCCCTGCTCAGCGGAGAGTCTGCTTCTCCCTCTCCCTCTGCCCCTGCTCCTTCTCTCTGTCTCTAATGAATAAATAAAACCCTTAAAAAATATTTTAAAAAATAAAATGTGATTAATACAATTAAGCAATGATTTGTCATTGAAAGGGAAAATTGTGGTATATGCAAAAATGCAAATGAAGAAACAAAGAAGGGCACCTGGGTGGCTCAGTCGGTTAAGCATCTGCCTTCGGCTCAGGTCATGATCCCCGAGTCCCAGCATCAAGTCTCGCATCGGGCTCCCTGCTCAGCCAGGAGTCTGCTTCTCCCTCTGACCCTCCCCCCTCTCATGCTTTCTCTCTCTCTCAAGTAAATAAAATCTTTTAAAAAATAGTAACAGTTAATAATCAGTTTACGGTTATTGAGCCTGTACCAGGGTCTTTGTTAATCATACATTCCTCATCTAGTCTCAACAATAAATGCTCAGAAGAATGTGAAGAAAGTGGCCTCACCGACATGCTAAGACCGTTTTCCCAGATGATCTGGACAATGGGGAGTAAAGGAAAGAAAACCCGGGTTCATCAGAGCCCAGAGCTATACTCTTAGTAAAGCCAGGACCTAATAAACAAAGGCTGTTTGGTTTTTTTTATTATTAATTTTACTTTTTTAAGTAATCTCTGCAGCCACCGTGGGGCTCAGTCTCACAACCCCGAGACCAAGAGTCGCACGCTCCACCGACTGCACCAAGCAGGTGCAGGCTGGTGTTAGTATATACTCTGCTGAAACACTGTTACCACTCTCTTAAACACTGTTACCACTCTCTTAGAGTTTCCATTTCCCCGTGGTTATTCGTTGGCTGCCATCAAAGAGTTGAGGAAACTTCCTTCCCATCCTTGATTTTGTTCAAGGAACTCAATTAAAATGATCGAAGCAATTACGCACACCAGATTCTTAGCAGTGTTTGCCCTTAGTTAATGAGTGACTTTCAGAAGAGAGGCTGTGTATTCTCCGAGGTGATGTGCATCATCCCACAGAAATTGGTGCCAGATGGATCCGACCTGCGTGGGAAAATAGGCTTCCTGGAATCTTCAGGATGTGTTTGGTTTTCCATTACTGTTTCCAGCCTGCCCCCTGCTGGCTGATAGAAGGGGCCATCGCTCATCACAAAGGACGAAAATGCCAGGAAGAAGCCACAGCTCCAGGGAGGTCTCAATTTCACGTGGCCTCAGTCCAGTTGCAAACGGCTGAGTCTCCCCTCCCCGTATTGTACCATGCCCCACGTCACCTCCACAGAAGAGTCGGAAGGGGTTCACATTTTTTCCGTCATGTACTTGCTGTGTCGAAAGGGCTACTCTAGTTGCTTACCGATGTCATGACAGAAATCTCAATACAAGATTAAATACGTAAACATTGGAAAGCAGATAAGTTGGATGAATGGCAGTCATTTTTGTCCCCCTCCTCTCTGGCTTTCCTCACCTGTACTCTGCAGAGTACTTACTGATTTCAAAAGAACTAGACTCTGTCCTGAATAGGGTTACTTGTTTGGACTGTTTTTAATGTTTATTTTTATTTAAAATGCTCATTGAGGTGGCAGCTAGCCACAAGTTTATTAAGTCCACTTTATGAATTCACTTTTATCTTTTTTTTTTTTAGTGAAGAAAGTTAAATTTAAAAAATAAGCATTAGGTGGGGCACCTGGGTTTCTCAGTTGGATAAGCAATCTGACTCGATTTCAGCTCAGGTCGTGATCTCAGGGTCCTGGGATCGAGACCTGCGTCAGTCTCCGTGCTCAGCGGGGAGTCTGCTTGAGGAGTCTCTCACACTCTCCCTCTGCCCCTCCCCCAACTCCTGTGTGCACGAACTCTCTGTCAAATAAATCTTTTGGGCGCCTGGGTGGCTCAGTCGGTTAAGCATCTGCCTTTGGCTCAGGTCGTGATGTTGGGGTCCTGGGATCAAGCCCCGCATCGGGCTGTCTGCTCAGCAGAGAGCCTGCTTCTCTCTCTCCCTCTGGTGCTCCCCCTGCTTGGGCTCTTTCTCTCTTTCTGTGTCAAATAAATAAGAAATCTTTGGGGAAAAAAAAATATTTAAAAAATAAAAAGCATAAGGTGATTTCTATATTAACTAGTATATTCTTCAGCTTTCAGAATTAAAGCTAATGTGAAAGTAACACCTAAGCCATGGAAATAAGCTATAAAACTGCGTGTGTGGATACACGAATGCACTGAAGGGAGAATAATTATTTCACAAAACAAGGTGGTTTTTATTCCTGTTAGAATTCAGTTTTTTAAAAAATAAATATTCTTGCTTCCAAGGAAGCACACATTTAATTGTGGAAAATCTAGAGAATACAAGTACAGATTTAGAAAAATATTGACTACGCTTATAAAATTAATATGTGTGATGTAGTGTATAATTTACTTTCCGGAGATTTCTATCTCAAATTTTAATACAAAGCATTATACAAAAGGCCATAAATATGACCTAACCAAATAACTGACAGTAACTTAATTGATTATACAGTGAATGAGCTAATACTGTTAAATATACGTAAGATTCCTATTTGCATATGTGACTTCCAGACATCTTTTCTGTAACCCAGACTGGTGAGTATCATTTTAGCACATAATAGTGCCCACTTGTGAATGAGAGCAGAAAAAAGATTATATTGGATATTGATGTTTAGTTACCTACTAGGCTTTGTAACCACCTCAGGGACATCCCCACCAATTTTAATAACCAGGCTGTTTGAACTTAGGTCTTAATGAATTTATAAATCGTGACACACCATGGGCCTCAGTGCTAGATGTTTAAATGCACGAAGACAAGGATGTGTATAATGTTCATACAGCAGGTTTTTAAAAACCCATCTGTTAGAGCTCATACTTTCAAGGAAGTGTTTTAGTCAACATGGTTGCATAAGAGGTTATGAATTGTCTCCATAATCTAGGACTGTAGTTTTGTGAATGTAGTTACTCAGCAGCATTCATTGAGTGTTGTTGGCATTTCTACAGGCCGTCTGGATGTAATAATGGATGAGACAGGCAGACTCCAGTCTCATGAGGGAGAGAGATGACACCCAGCCATTGAGACAGGAGTGGAAGGTGGCACAGGGTGGTAGAGGTTCCTGCCCCACCCAGTCCCTGGAGTCAGGACACTTGTAAAAGCAGCGTGATTTCTACGCTGAGTACTGGCGGTGGAATTCCAGGGTGTGGGTGGGGCACTGAGAAAGAAAACAGTGTCCTAAGAGATGAAATGAGGAAGCAGACATGAAGTCCAGTTGTCTTCTCTTACCCCAGACATTAAAGAGATTCGCACTTCTCATCAAATTTTTTGTTGGGGAAAATACGTTTTTCATAAAGATACATGATATAAAAAAAAAGTGCCTTAATCGGGATGTATCATGGTCAAGGCTAGAGTTAAGGCCGAGAATACCTGCTGCTTTGGGAGACTGTTAGGAGTCAGACTGCCCTTTGAAAAGCCCCAGCCTTTGGCAGAGGGAATGGCATGCAGTAGGTACTCCATGAATGCTTACTGATAACTGACTGACAAAATGATTGTTGCACAATTGAAGAATCCTTGTTGAGGTCTAAACCCAGAGAGGTCTAAACCTTGGACAGCTTGCTAATTCATTATCTCACTTCCAGGAGTGCCTGAGTCATCCCAACGGGAGAGTCCAGGCGGCCAAGGCATACCGAACCTGCCTCAGATACTTGGGGTGAGTACTGTGACAAGGACCGTACGTACTTGGATTTTAAAATGGGATACATTTGTTTATATCAAATTCGTTCGATTTAAAATAACTCAGTTTGCATATGCACTGAAACACGTACCTACGTACACACACTCACAGACTAAAAGTTTAATTGCCGTGACTTAAGGTAAGTCAGCATTTGTTTTTTCCTGGTTCGTGCTGACTGGTTCAAGTCCAGTCTCTCTACCACTTGTAACTGTGTGACCTTGGGAAGGTTACTTGACCTCTCTGTTCCTCAATTCCCGATCTATACATTATGGATGATGATTACACCTAAATTACAGAATGTGTATGAAGCTACATGAGTTGATACATGTAAGGAGCATAGAATACCGTTTGTCATATAGAACTGTGTAAATATTGTACTGTCATTATCCTAAACCATAAAATATCAGTATTAAAAGCATTTAACTTACCACATCAAATAGTCTGTAAAATAGGTGTTAGCATATACAAGATAATGATTAAAATGAAAACATTTTAAATGTTTCTGGAGGTACCTGGCTGGCTCAGTCAGTAGAGTATGTGACTCTTGATCTTGGGGTCGTGAGTTTGAGCTCCACGTTGGGTACAGACATTGCTTAAATAAACTTAAAAAATTTTTAAACGTTTCTAAAGCCAAATGAGTTAATATATGCAAAGAGCAGAGAATACTGTGTTGTAGAAACTATTCTATTTTTGCTGTTTTTAAACTTGATAATATTAAAAACATTGAGATTACTAGATCAAACTAATACTTTACTGTCTGTCATGAAGGTTTTGATTATTTTCAACATTTTAAATATGTTGATAGGCATGAACTATGAAAATGAGGATGAAATTAAGTGGAGAAAATGGAAATGTAGTCATTTGGAATACCTTTTCTGTGTTCAGATGAAAAATACATCCTCAAGGAACCCAGTTCCATGGAACTGAATACATTTTAAAATCTAATTCATTTTCTTGCAGTTTATGGATCTGGAATTATTAAAATGTTCATATCTTTGAGCTAATGGGGCATAACAAATTTAATTTGCAAAACAAAGATGACATGACTGGAACATGATCCATAATCACTTTCTTTCCCTTCAACTTCTCGTTGTAGGCACTCTATTAGAAAGATAGACAAGTCAAGCGTATTTTATAACTTCTTAGAACTTTCCAAATAAGTAAGCTCTTAGAAAATCATAAAGGAAGGCGCCTGGGTGGCTCAGTCGGTTAAGTGACTGCCTTCGGCTCAGGTCATGATCCTGGAGTCCCGGGATCGAGTCCCGCATCGGGCTCCCTGCTCGGTGGGGAGTCTGCTTCTCCCTCTGACCCTCCCCCCTCTCATGTGCTCTCTCTCATTCTCTCTCTCAAATAAATAAATAAAATCTTAAAAAAAAAAAGAAAATCATAAAGGAATAGAATTTTGGAACAAAACCGTTCCTCAGAATCTGTCTTTTACAGTGTTTCTCAGTTGTGTGGGGCACAGCCCCGCCGCCCTTGGCAGGGTTGTTCGGAATGTGTGGGGGTGCTCTGGGCTCAGTGTGATGGGACACGTGTGACAAGCCGGGGGAGCTGGCGGAGGAGTGGGTGGAGAGGACAGGCTGATGGGAAGCTTGCCGTGGAGCGGCAACTGCTGGGGCAGCCCTGGCCGCACGCTCCTCCCAGTGACCGTGCCCTAGCCTTGGCCGGCAGCTTCCCCGACAAGAGTGGGCCCTCACTTCCCATGTGGCAGCAGACCTGCATGTGCTGCACTGGGACACAGCCAGCCCACCGCCCTGCTTGCAGCGGGTCTCTGAGATCTTTCTGGAAGGCGGATTGCAGGAGCACGTCTCCGAGGCTGCTGGTCACTGAGGTGTCTGAGGCCGGCTTAGCGCCTGCCTGTGGTCTGATCGTTTGCCGCGTCTGACAGAGATGACCCGAGTTCAGTGTTGGTCCACTTCTGGGGTGTCTGACTTCATAGTGTCGTTTCTAAAGATCGTTCACATTTCACGCCGGTGTTTTGCCAGAGTCTGTGGCAAGAGGGTAGAAGCTTGTCCCTGTGAAGGGCCATTTAGTCTCCCTGTAGCGGGGATGATGATGATTAGTTCTGGTGGTAGTAATTATAGTAGCAAAGGGAGAGGAGGGAGTGAGAGGAGGGGGAGGACTAGAGCAGCGGTCCTAACAACGTTAATATTTACTGGTCACAGGGCTAGGGACTGCCACGTAAACTCTCATGTACTACTTACAGCGCACGACGAGGAACGGATCAGTGTGATTCTCATTTTATTTTATTATTATTATTTTTTATTCTTATGTTAATCCCCATACATTACATCATTAGTTCTAGATGAAGTGTTCCATGATTCATTGTTTGTGCATAACACCCAGTGCTCCATGCAGAACGTGCCCTCCTCAATTCCCACCACCAGGCTAACCCATCCTCCCACCCCCCTCCCCTCTAGAACCCTGTTTGTTTTTCAGAGTCCATCGTCTCTCATGGTTCGTCTACCCCTCCGATTTCCCCCGCTTCATTCTTCCCCTCCCGCTACCTTCTTCTTTTTCTTCTTTTTTTTTTTTCTTAACATATATTGCATTATTTGTTTCAGAGGTACAGATCTGAGATTCAACAGTCTTGCACAATTCACAGCGCTTACCAGAGCACATACCCTCCCCAGTGTCCATCACCCAGTCACCCCATCCCTCCCACCCCACCCCCCACTCCAACAACACTCAGTTTGTTTCCTGTGATTAAGAATTCCTCATATCAGTGAGATCATATGATACATGTCTTTCTCTGTTTGGCTTATTAGTGTGATTCTCATTTTGCAGACAACATACGGAGCAGTTCAGTAACTTGTCCCAGCTCGTCAAGCTCGTAAATGGTAGAGGTAGAATTCAGACGTAGGGATGAGGACTCCCTCACAGCGGCTCCCGTCCCCTGCCCTTAGAATCAAGACCCGGGCTGGATTATTCCGGATGCTGCCTGTAGAATGTAACTTGTCACTACGTAGCTGATCTTTTAAGCCTGGATTTCCCCATCCACAGAAAGTCTAATAATAATCACCAGTCTGACTTTCTCATGGGGGTAATGTGAGGGAGAAGAAAAAGATGTTGTTGAGAACGTGTTTTGTAAACTGTAAACCCTTCATCAATAAATGCTGGTTATTATCTTACTGGTATTAAACGTTTTGTGTTCTAGAAATGAGAGCATGTGGTTCTAAAACTTTGACAACAGCAAGTGATATAAATTCATTCTCAGGAATTACGATCCCAGATTTTAGGAGCTGGAGGTCATCCAGTTCATATTTATGAACTCAACCCTGCTGCATATTTATATCATTTGGGGGAGCTTTTGAAAATGGCTGTTGCCCAAGATTCAATCCACTGTTGGAAATCAGATTTAATTGGCCTGCTGTAGGACTTAGGCATCTAAGTACACGTAGACTAGGACTTAAGTATACGTAGATGTGCACGCATCCGAATTTGTACGTGTAAGTGTTTGTATGTGTGTGCATGTGTGGGTTCGTGTGTGTGTGTGTGTGTGTGTGTGTGTTTTCTCTCAGGGTGATGCTAATGTGTAGCTAGGGGGCAAAATGGCTGGACTGAAGGATAAGCTTCCTTCTGATGTGTGGGCTAAGCGTATGTTTACGAAGGACGGCTCCCATTGACACGTGTTGCCCACTGTCCCACCTGGCAGCCCACCCCTTTCACTCTCAAGTGTTGTTTAGATGGTAAATTATATATATGTTATAAAAATTATATAAATTGTATAGTCCCCTACTGATGAGGAACTGAGGCTTTGGGAGGCTATTTTCCTGTTAAAAGGAATCAAATATGAGATTGCTTTAGAGTCATGTTGAACATCTTGTTGGTAAGCAGGATGTTTCTTCAGAGTCTTAAGCTGAGAGCATTTCTTAATTTTTCTGTGATCATAAGAACTCTTTAAAATAGAAATAGGCTCTGTTTCCATGTAAGCCAACAAAATTTTTACAATACCGAGGTCTCCCATCCCAGCGGATTCATTTGTGTAGAAAACAGTTGATCATCATTTATAATTTCTGAAAGCACCTTCTTGTGAATACTGCCCTTTGTTTTTTAGAAAATTAACTTGAGAAAACAAATCAGCAGTTTAATCAACTGTCTCAATCCTGGTTTTCTGAACATCACACATGGTCCAGCAGGGCCACAACATACCTAATGACAACATTTATGAAACCTCGAACCAAAAGAAGATGTGACTCTGACCAAGAGATCTGACCTGTTGTTTCTCTGACAGGCAGCAGTGCAGTGTAATTAAGAGCTGAGTCGGGGTGCCTGGGTGGCTCAGTTGGTTAAGCGACTGCCTTCGGCTCAGGTCATGATCCTGGAGTCCCTGGATCGAGTCCCGCATCGGGTTCCCTGCTCAGCAAGGAACCTGCTTCTCCCTCTGACCCTCCCCCCTCTCATGTGCTCTCTCTCTCGTTCTCTCTGTCTCAAATAAATTAAAAAAAAAAAAAATTAAGAGCTGAGTCTTTCTCAGCCCTTGTCAGAGTTGATTTTGGCATTAGGGTCAGCATTACCCAGAATGTCCATGCCTCAGAATAGCTAGGATGCTTTCCAGCCTGCAGTCTGGCTTTTCAAGGGTACACAAGAAGTCTGTATTCAGTACACATACAGATCCATGCACGTGGGCCTTTTGCTATGGGAATAGTAAGAATACCGTCTCATCCTCGGGCATATTGTCATAGGGTGACCCAGTCCGAAGGGCAGATCGAGGAAAATAACGTGTCTCAGTTGAAGTCCATCAGAGTCACACCAGGGATGGTAGGAGTTCCCGTCACTGAGCCTTAATGACTGTATGTGCTTGTGGAATGCGGGGATGGTATGATGCCCTGAAGATCCAGTTCAGTACCGCAAAGGAGACTGGAAGGGTCACAGTTTTGTTGGTGTACGATCGTGGAGGAAAGTCAGAGGTGGATTTAATTCTTTTAACATACCAGTCTAGGTAATGTACCGTGTTTTGTTAGTCTCTGGTGTAC